GGAATATTCATCTTTCAATATACAATGTAGTCATGGTGTAATGTACAACTTACAATATTCTGTAGTAAAATATTAAACATAAAATTGTCTGATTGGTTTGAATCTTATAAACCCACAGTGAAACTTAAATTAAATTGAAGAAGATTAGGACTGATAGGTGGATACTTAAAACAGCTTATTAGCATCTAAATAAAAACTCATTTTTAGTGCATTCTTAGAAAATATTTGAGACATCCATTACAATAAGAAAGATGATTTTTTTAAACTACCATACTTGAGATGAATGTGAAACATTATTATACCAAGAAAAATCGCTAGGAAAATATAAAAATGTTAATCTTAAAATGGTACTGTTGATTTCAAAATAAAACTTATTTTCACCCAAAAATACATTGTATATTTCTAGCCAAATGCCTCTCTACACAATTATGTAATTGAAATGATTGAAGCTTGTATACATAAGTATAACAACAAAAAAAAGATGACTATGTATTATAAGCAAAACATCATTAAGCTTTCATTGGTCTAGCAGTTTCAAATGGTTAAGCTGAAACTTTTTCAAAGGTTATGTAGAGACATTATTTCTCAGAATTTAGATATTGGGGATAGTGCTATGTAAAAATAAACCATACTCTCTGAAGAGTACATATTTTGGGAATACAACTACATAAATATAAACCGAAAATGTTGAAAAGTGCATATAGATCTCTTGAAGGGATCAGAGAATAGCTAAAAAAATTATAAAAATGTACCTTTATCTACCCAACTGTGATCAGATCAAATATTCTCCAGCTAATTAAGTTCATTATTATAAAATAAACATGAAAGGTTTTGTTTTCTACTATAATATGAAAATCCAGTGACAAGCTTTGGCAGTTATGACATCTTAAGTTGGATACAGAATAATCCGCTTTAAAGGGTAAGAAAAGAGAATGTGTTCAGTACGAAACATTCACAATTATATCTTTAACAGGGAAAAACCATCATTGAGACATAATGCTGTGTATAGTCTAATTATGTATAACAAGAAGTTTCTATTGTTAATATACTCATTCTCTACCTCATCATTTTAAGATCTGGTTCTTTCAAAGTATAACCAAATTCAAGCAAGAACAAAGTTAAGTGACATACTGTATCAATTCTTTATGCTCATACCTTCTTTCTTGTTTTCTATGACACATAAATTTTTAACTCTTTTCAAAGCTATATTTTAATTATGTTTGGAATTTCTTTCAAGAGATTGCAGACTGAATTTAAAAGCTTTCATATTATAGAAATATCAAGTTTTATTCCTTTCAGGTTGAGACCAAGAAAATTAAATGTTTCACACCTATGAAATTTACAAAGTAAGTTCATGCATAAACTTTATAGTCAACCAATAAATGAAACTGAGGTATTTAGTAAACTTAACATAATTCAGAATTATTCTCACAGCCACTGTATAGTTATACTATACTCAACCAATGAGTAGGATAGAATCCCTGTTTCTATAATCACAGTACACAAGAAACTTTTCACAGTATACATCATTTGTGTATCCTTTTTGCCTTTAAGTTTATTGAACACAAAAATCTTTACAACATTACAGTCTGGTATCATTTACAACAAGTGCTCAACAGACAGGAAACAGATCTGAAATGTTATTGGCTTAAAATTCTTTAAAGAGAAAAAATGTTGAAATTATTTAAGTACTCACAGACATACTAACACAATCAATCCATGAACTTGTAACTTGAGAACGTTTCCACAGTATAAGGCTGTTACCAGTTTTTATTTTATATAAAATCTTCTGTGTCTACTTAACAAAACTTACTAGGTTATGAGAATTATATACAAAACTGTATAATTCAATATGTAATATAAGATATTTCCTTAAAATTATAAACCAATGTATTTGAGTGACAGACTATCTCAGAGAAGCCGCTACTTGGATGTTTGTGATTTCAATATTAGAAATAATGCACACCAAGACAGAGAGAGAAAAAAGAAACTGACATGGAGGTGAAAATTTCCACAAAGACCATAATGCAATGATAAATTTTGGAAAAAGATAAAAAAAAGTTTTAAAATATTATCCTGCTTAATAATGTGTATTCAGATGCAATAAAAAGGAGGAAAAAACCTAAAGAAAAATTATCTATTCTCGACAACTGAAACAAAGGACAAAGAATAGCAAATAAAATAATATAAGAACAATATAGAAAGAAGTATGAAAACGTATATATTTTAGTAATATACAGATTAAACTACAATTCAAAAAATGGTAAACACATGGAGGAAATGGCACAATTTCATTTTAAAGAATGCAAAAAAAAAATAAATTCACACACACATGGATACACACAGTCATTGCTTGAAGCAAGTTTGGCAGACTAGTCAATCTTTTCTAGAGCAAGCCATTCCTCAACTATAAATCCCCTCTCCCCAAACAATAGAACTAAGATGACTAGTTGGACCATGATGTCCAGGTTATATTTAAACAACTTTTAATAAAAATAATGTTTGAACTAATTGTTTACACATAAAATTATTGATTTAATGTGGAAAAGAGCAGCTGAGGTATAGAATTACTAATATTATTATTGTAATATGATAAGTAGTTATAAAATGCCTTCAGGACTGAAATATTTCTTTAAAATGTGAAATAAATTAAACAATGTGCTATAAAACAATTGCAAGTCTAGACATTTCCTTCAAAAATTGAATTTTCTTCAGTGGAGCAAAAAATGACCTAAGAATATGAAATGCTAATAAATTTCCTGAAAAACATCTCCATCTATAGAATAATGTATCTTCCCACATCAGTAGAAAATCTAGGTAAGAATCCTAAAACAAAAGGGCATATTTGGAACTAACAACAGGTTTGTTTTTCTTGAAAACATGAAAAATTTTTAAGGCCTGGTTCCTGGTTTGACTTCTTTAAAAAAGAAAAGACAACCCTTTTTTATTTCATTTTCTTTTTGTGGTTATGGTATTCTTGTCATCAGACAAAAACATCACATACTTAACAAACCTATTAAATTGTGATAGTTCCTCCAACTCGGTAGAAACATCAAATAATATATTTCCAATGAGATTTAAGGCCCTTGCCATGTATCTGTACAATGTAAAAAAAAAAAAAAAGTTTCAAAGGAGTGGCCTATGGCCCCAGAAAGAATCCAGTATTGAATTGAGATGGACCTTATTTCTATACATACAATAGTTATACAAGATGAAATTCAAAAACTTTCAAAGCTTCAAAAAAAAGGGAATCCTTAGATCAGAGCTCATAATATTTAATTTTATAATACAACAGAGCTAACAATCCATGAAAATATCAACAAAACATGCCCAGATAGTTTTTAAATGGACTTAAAAAGTGCTTTTCACTTATATTGACTCCGTGGACAACCATCAGAGTCTAGAAGAACGAGCAAAACAGATGGCTGGCTCAACTTGATTGAAATTGATTTTTTTCACAAGAAAAAAGTGATTGAAGATATAATAAGAATTTTTTTAAAAAAGAGAGCATATTGTTTTCAGAAACTGTATGAAAACCACAGTTCACTCTCTGCAACGATATGCTATGTATCTCATGCAGGCATATCCTGTGCAAATGTTTGGTTTGATGGTATCAGCTGCCAAATACACTGAAATATATAAGAGATCATTAATTCAAATGCAAAGATATAAGCCAAGCACCCGAGAAGTTCTGGAGATTAACTGTACCTGGTATTAGGAATATTGTGGGCTACCTGTCTCAAGGAATCATTTGTAAGAAAAAGGGAATTAAGAGATACACCTTTTGTTCCAAATATGGGTTGGAATTAAGTTTGCTGGTAATGCTTTTTTTTTATTTCAACCAATAAAACTAAAAACCTCCCCATACCCAAATGCCCCCCCCCTTTTTATCATCATTGGCAGATAGTGTTTAACATCTTGTATTTTTGTGAACATTTTCAGTATTAGTAAAATTCTGAAATACACATTTTTGAACAGGAACTTCTTTAAGTAAGACTGAATTTATCTAAGACATAGGAAAATGAGAACATTCATTTTTATAAGAGGAGAAATGAATAGAGACAGGCAGCCCAGGAATCGAATGCCAGAGCCAAGACAGCTAGCTATACACTCCTTCTAGGAAAATGAATGTTTTTTAATTTCTTGTGCTCACCAGGTGTCCTTCTGCTTTTACTCTTTCTTCACAAATCACTAAAAATCCTGTGATTGTCTTAGCCAGTTTAGATTGAGAAGGTGGCTTAGCTCTGGTTGAGGCAGATCAATAAGAAACTGGAAAAATTAGCAGAAACTTTAGCACTCAGTGCCAGCAAGGGATGGTGTACGTTACATGGCTGGGAATCTGCACCTGGCCAGCTCTGAAATCCTGTGTGCTCGGAATTGATGTGTGATGTGTTTCAGGAACTATGGCCTGTTGCATTATGCTGAGAATGTGAAGAGTCATCTGATGATCCATGACCCACTGGTGAGGATGGAAGGGCTGCATCCTTGCGGGGTGGCATGCGCTCATTTATTTTATCCAAGCCTTTAGCCTCTTCAAAGCTGGTAATTCTGTGATGTGGAGAAAATCCTGCCAGCTCTGAAGAAGAAACAGAGACAATCAAATCTGTGTACCTTACAAACATACAATTGTTTTTTATTTCTCTTGTGTGAAAATTGGATCAACTAAATTACTCATTAAAATACAAATATCACCAAAATGTTTGCATTCACCAAACAATTACACAATAATCTCCCAATTTTTTTTTACAAAACAAACAAAAAATAAGGTAATACCTATGAATAAATATCATCAGCTAACTTTCCTAACCATTTATTCCCAAAATAACACCACCTAACTTTTTTAGCCCCAGAAAAAACAACACTAGCTTACTTTCCTTACCCTAGATAACATTATAATTACATATCTCCCTAGTTCCAGAAAACAATATCAACAGCTAATTTTTTAACCTCAAATAACATTATCTTCCAAACACCAGTTAACTTGCTAAGCCCCATACAACAGTATCATCAACTTCATTGCAAGTGTGTTCTAGGAGTATTTTACGAAACTGAACAAATGTATACATGATAAACCTCTGTTAATTGTCAGTATTCCTCTACTTTGAAGTTTCTTTTGTTGATGTATGTCTCTGTACTAGGCCCTAATTAAGACAATAAGTAACCCAAAAAATACAAAACTAGAACCCAATTTACAATTTTTGAAATAAAAAGAATAACAAATGCTTCTTTCGTTCAAAATTCAGCTGGAAATGAAGTGCTGCAAATGTGTTAAAGTATTCTAGTGATTGAATATTTAAACCCATTTCTAAACAAGAATACCTCTGCTGTTCTTTTTATCTTAAACCATAATTCTTTTACTTACCATTCTTCAAAGAGGTTCGACCACCAGAAAGTGCTCCTAGCGGTAAAGTTCCAGTTGGAGTCAGGCCTTTCAGTTGAAGAACACTCTCACTTTCCTCCCTAATTTTAGTAAATAGTGACAGCAGATATCTTAAAGTAAGGTATGCTAAAGAGATTTTAATAATGTTCACCTTTATCATTATTTAGAACATCATTTTACTTTATACAGATAAAATAGAGTAAAAGATTCAAACTTATTTCACAGAAAAATATGTAATCTTCACAGCACTGCTATATAATATAATATTCTAATAATAACACTATTAAACTAGTAATTACTGGGAATTTTCAGTTCAGTCTATTGATGGCTATTTTGTTACCACAGAATTATTTTTTCAAACTCAAGAAATGTCATAGTAACTTCATTACTACTGGTAAAAATTAACAGTAAGAAAACAGAAACTGCTATTATAATTACTTGTAATGTCAAATAAAAGTCATATTCACTAATAACATTAATTAAAAAAAGTATCCACTCAGAAACACAATAGAAACATTCAGGTATTGTCCAGTTCTAACCATTGTTATTAAGAAAGTAATTTTATCCTTCAAACAGAAATGCTGTAGTAATGAGATATAGGATACTAACAAGAATTATAGTAACTAGAGAAAACCAGATCGTTAATCCAATCCTCACCTACATGATATAATATGTCAAAATATAAACAGCTTTTGCAATGTACCTTTCATGTAAGCTAAAAATACATAGAGAAAATACCAAATTGTAAACCCTATCCACACACAAGTTACATTTTCAAAACATAATGCTAAATAATAATTTTTATTGGCAAATTATAAATTTGCCAATAAAAAAATTTAAGTTATTACACAATATTCTGTACACCAAACTTCTTTAAGATTCTACAGTTTAAATGGTAATCAGAGTTTACAATTATACATGTATCTTAATAAAACAAGTTAAATAAATTCAACGTTTATTTAAGTTTTATAGATATATCTACTTTAAACTGAAAACAGAACATTAAGTTTAACATATATTGTTACAAACATATAACTAGGATGTTCTCTGTCTGCCATAAAACAACTTCCTTATAACAAACACACCTAACACATACAGATGTTTTCACTATCACTACAACAAACAGTAGAATGTCCCTTGACTACCAGCTGATGTATTTACTGTCACTACAACAAACAGTAGAATGTTCTTTGTGTTTTGTTTTATACCTGCCAAGAAAAGTTTTCATTACTACAAATACACTTGCACAATGACCTCTGACCACCACATTGATATATTTATTGTTACTATAACAAACAGTAGAATGTTCCTTGACTACCACACTGGTGTATTCACTGTCACTGTAACAAACAGTAGAATGTCCCTCAACTACCACACTTAGGCATTCACTGTCACTGTAACAAATAGTAGAATGTCCCTCGACTACCACACTTAGGCATTCACTGTCACTGTAACAAATAGTAGTATTTTCCTTGACTACCACACTGAGGTATTCACTGTCACTGTAACAAATAGTAGAATGTCCCTCGACTACCACACTGAGGTATTCACTGTCACTATAACTAAAATTAGAATGCTTCTTGACTACACACTGATGTATTTACTGTCACTATAACAAACAGAAGAATACTTCTTGACTACACACTGATGTATTTACTGTCACTAAAACAAACTGTATAATATTCCTTGACTACCACACTGATGTGTTCATTATCACTAAAACAAAGAGTAGTATGTTTCTTGACTACACACTGATGTATTCACTGTCACTATAACAAACAGAAGAATGTTTTTTGACTACCACACTGATGTATTCGCTGTTCCAAATACACCTGTAGCATGATCCCTGACTACCATTCTGATTTATTCAAGTCACAATCATAACTGTAGGATCTTATGAATCTTCTATGGATGAGAAACTACCTGAGTTTCAAATACTTATAATGTTTAAAGTACATACCTAAGAACAGAAAACACTCTAGCCATTTTGCCTATGGCTCTGATCTTGTTACGGATTACTTCTTTTCTAGCACCTGCCGTACCACCTAAGGAAGCAAATTTGTGTAATTTATAGTACAGTACACTTTGTTATGAACAAAGTACTTATTTCTACTTATAAAAATATAAATAATAGCTACATTAACAAGTCATATATGAAGTTACAAATGATAAAAACAAGGATTATCTATAACAGAGAAAAAAAATAAACGTATAATATTGATAAATAAAAATATTTATAATTGTCTCAGAATAAGTATTCATATTATTAAGTTCTAAGTTCTTTCAAACTTTTTCTTACAACCCACTAACTATCTACACTCTATATACTTCATATCCATAGACAATATATTGTTTAGACCTATGTATTCCTAACAGTCTTAATATTAAGACAACTAATGTTCAGATCAGCCACTTTAACACAAGAAATTTTTAGTTTCTGAAACCTAATATCATTTTTGAACTAGATATATTCAAACAACTAATGTATAATGTTCATATGAATTACCAGCTCTGACTGAAAAACTGTCATGAGATTTCAAAGATGACACAGCAAAAGATCTTTAAAAAATAAACAAATGGTTACATTTAGACAAGAGACATTTAAGTTCAGATTAATCATATTTACACTAGGCAATACAAATTTACTAATATTGCTTATGTCCCAAACTGACACAACTGGGTTACTAATTAAATAATGAAACAAAATGAAATAAAAAGTGAAGCCAAACATTATAAATACTTTTTATTTTAATGCAGAGTTAACGTGAAAAAATATCAAAAGTAAATTTGGAGAAAACCTTGAGAAAATCCCACCAGAGATAGTATTAATGAATAATTCAAATTAATACTCTAATAAAGAATCAAAATCAATGGGATTCAAGTCATCTAAATAATAAATATAATGCTCCAACCCCTGCCTACAAAACTATCAGTCCACCTTAAAATTCAACAACCCCAATTTCTTAGTTCCATAATAACTCAATATTATTTTTCTAATAGTGGTTTCAGGGTCCCTTCCATAAAAAGAAATTTTTACAAGTTTATTTCCTACTCCACATCAATTAATCTTGTATTTTCCTGTAAATTCATTCCAGAATAACCATGAAACAAAAATTTTCAGGGATCATTTACATAAGTAACTATTTTAAAATATAACTGAATGAACCTAAATATATTAAAGGTATTTTTCATTCTGAAACTTAAAACTTTCAAAAAGAGAAACACTTTATATTAACCTTTAATGCCAGATTTCATTTTATAAGTTATTTATTAATCACAAACACCTTGAATTAATAAGTTTGAACTAAGCAAAGGAAAGAACTTAACTGAAATATGTGAACAAAAAAGGTAATTACTTACGACAATTTCCATTAGAAGAACAAAAAGATAAGAATAATCTCACAATTCACCTTCAAATGTGTCATCTCCTTCAGACATGAGTTCGTCATCTGAACAAATACTTAGCACATTCACCAACATTTCAGTAACTAGAAAAATGAAAAATAATCAAAGAATTAATACTACTGAAAACATTTCTGTAACTAGGATAAAAACAAAAGGAGTCAAAACATTTGTTTAACTATAATGGTACAAAAAGAGTAAAAACATTTCTGAAACTAGAATAAAACAAAAAGAGTAAAAACACCTTGGTAACTATGGTAAAACAAAAGAAGTGAAACATCACTACTGATAATAATATTACAACATGGACAAAATCTCTGTAGAAACTACAAAATGGTCAACAATATATCTATAACAAGGAAAGAAACAAACTGAAAAAAATATAAAACTTCAATACTAAACTAACTAGATACAAAATCAGAGAAATAAACACAGCTTTAACTAGAACAAACACAACACTAGAACATTAAAGTAATTAAATCTAACTAATTCATCAACATTTCAGTAACTATACTAAAAATACACCTCCATCACACTGCACTTTCAGTGCAATACAAGCACTTTAAAATGCTTTGATATTTTATACAGATTTATTCTCTACATTTAGTACAAAATATTGGTGAAACACATTTCATCATACCCCATCACATGCCCCTAGTCATCACTGTCTATAATGTATGCTCTAAACACTATTGAAACCACACTTTCCTCTTTACTTCTGAAATAAGCAGTTTTCAGATTTGTCATCAGCTGCCAAACGACAGATCTTGTAATGTTTTACATACTTAGAGGTCAAAGATAGTGATGCACTAACCACTGCCGAAGGACTGCCAAAGAGTTACATACTATCTTGCTCTTTTGACCATTTGAAAGATCTTTGCTCCTACCATTTTTCTCAAAGACTACAAATAAACATTTATGGGGCTCAAGCAGTTACTCAACATGTCACATAATGTATTTTATCTAGCAAACAGAGTGCTCTACAAATGTGTACAGGAAGTTCTATTAAAATTGCCAGTTAGTATACTTTATATATTGAACTGCTGTTAATCTAGAATACTATCATTATGTTTTCTTTTCTCTGTTTTCATTATTTACCGAAATGGCAAGAAAAAAGATCATATTATAAAAGGAAAACAAATTAAACATTAGTAATGAGAAAACATATTAACAAAATAAAAAAAACAAAAAAATTATAATTTCATCAGTAACATATATACTTGTTTCCTTAAAAAAAAAATTACTTTCCACGTCCTCAGTATAAATATTCCAAGAATTTATTATTAGGAGGACTAGATGTTCACAAAATAATGTTTTAAAACTATATTTTTATAAAATAAAGTAACAACCAAAATGACTATTACAAAAACTAACTTGAATAGAAAGAATTCAACAGCTTTACTTGATTTTTTAAAAACTATACACACATATATGTATAACATCTATGTTACCTTTTTCTCCCACAAAAGGCAAAGACCATGTAAAAACGTCCATGAAGTTTGGCAGCCAATATGGATGTGGAGAGCAGTTAAACTGTCTTATATTCATCACATTATTTTCATACTTCAGGACAGCAGCTTAACAAAAAAAAAACTTTAATCTTTAAAAAGAGGACTAAGAATTCCTTGAATTTATTGTTTTAATTAAAATCATTAAATTTGAAAAAAATAGACATACATCTATATCTAAAATTCTGTGATATTAGGATGACTTATAAATCCTCAAAAAGTGCATATTTTATAGTTGATTAGAATATCAACAGTTTGCCCATACTGTGACTATTTTCCCTTATAAATCACTTCATAACCACAATCAATTTTGTTAGAAACTGTACTGATACACATCTTAATTGAGCTTTAATAACATATCTAAATTTATATGAATCAACATCTTAATAATTTCAATAACTCTACATTTAGGCACTTTTATTAAATTTCAATGCACTCCTTAGCTTAGCTTCCTTGAAGTAACTAGTCATTCATGTTTATGCCATTCCATAATGTATGAAAAGAACATTGTATTATTTCATCACTTCTTCAAACATAAAAGTTCTTACATAATAATAACATCAAAAACAAACCCATATGATATTCTCTGACCACCAACCCAATGTGTTCGGTGTCAAAATCACATCTGTAGGGTATTCCCTGATGACCATACTAATGTGTTTCCTGTAAAACTAGCTTGTAGGGCATTTCTAAATATCTAAATGTACCATATCAATGTGTGTTCACTGACTCAAGCACATCTGCAGGATGTTCCCTAATGACCATACTAATGTCTTCACTGAAAAAACAACTTGTAGGGCATTTCTAACTACCTATATATATATATATATATACTATAGCAATGTGTTCACTAATCCAAACACAGATGCAGGATGTTCTTTGACCACTGCACTAATGTGTTTTCTGTTATAAATCAACTTTCACAATATTCCCAGGCTGTAACATCCAAGTGTTCACTGTCAGAAACACTTATTGATATGTCTGCTAAATACCTCATCAGTATTTTTACTTCCAAAAAATGTTACCTGGATATCATAGCATAATCTAAGCATTTATCATGACTAACCTTTATTATTATACACATCCAAATAATTGGGTGCGGAGAAAATGGTAATGAGAGAGGGAAAACCTGTTGTTTGACTCTTCCTGTACATACGATACCTGAAGAAACAAACATTATATTCATAAAATTTACACTACCATTGAAAAATTTAACTTTTCTTCTAGAAAACCCAATAGTCTAATCATGCTTGAAGACGGGTTGAATGGGTAATGAAGAAATATACAACGTTTCGCCAAAGTTTTGTCATCATCAGGTACGTTGTACATTTGCTGTTCTGTTAAACTTATATTAAAGTTTTTCTTCACTACCCATTCAAGCCATCTCCAAGCATTATTAGTCTCAAAGTGGGTTCCTCGTCATCGAATAGTCTAATCATAAACAAAAAAGGATTTTGTATAATATTGGCTGCAAAAAAGTTAACATTGTATATTGTAGAAATATTAGTGAAACTTTGCAGGAATTTATATTTTCTTTTAATCCTGTTTTTAGACATTTTTTTAATTTCTTTAGAGTTAAAATGCTTTTGATAATTTCAGTAATTAGTCACTAACTCAAGTAAATTTATAATAAATCTCTATATATACCCATTTTATCTTCTATTTATTTTAATATAACGTCTATAGACATCATCATCTCTTAGTATACATTTATTTCACCATGACTTATATTAACTAAAGTACTAGAAAAATTCACCTTAAGAAAGGGATGCTTTATCTAGCAGTTTCATTTTAATATCAACCTTTGACATTAACCATAGCCTGTACTCTGTTACAAACATCTGATGCCATTCTTTGGTACAAGTATGATAGCATGCACACTAACCCTCTTGCAATATACCACATATGTTGCCTATCCGTTCTGCACCTAAAATAGTATTCTAAAATGTCCCAAAGTATTTGAATTAAAGTTAGGTTGCATATATTAGTTGGCCAACCCAGATTCTGAATATTTTTTGTCTCAAACCACTGCTAAACACTGCAAAAGGTATGGTACATTATCATGCTGAGAAGAATATGGTCATTCCTCATACAATTTCATCCATGCAGAAAGTGCAGTATTTCCCAGAAATTCATGATACAACAAGACTTGTATTAATCCCTTAATTATAACCATTTGACCAAATCCAAACTAGCTAAGACAGGCTCATTTCATAATTCTACTTCACCACTCTTGATATTTATAATTCACTCAATTGCTTTCAAACAGACTTATCAATTAAAATCAAATAATAAAAACCAGTATTCACCACTCCACATAATGATTATTCATTATCCTTCAGCTCAATTCTAACTCTCAGGACAACAAAAAGGCTAACACCTTGCTTCACAGCTGTGATAAGTGGCTTATGGTCTGCAGTGATTCATGAAATCCAGCAACATGGAGCTTCGTACTCAGAGTAGTAATGCTGGCATGAGGACTGACACTTTCACTAAAGCCCTGGGTAAACATTTAGGGTGATCTTCCATTTCTTCAGCACATTACGCGTAATATATTCAGGTATACATAGGCAAAATGAAATGTACTGGAAGATCTATTGTTTCTTTTCCTCGTAGTAATTTGACTCGAAGCTGGCTTTCTGTAGCTGCTGCTGATCTTTATATATCTTTTGTAGAAATACACCATAGCACATATGTACAAAAACTCAATGGAGAATGGTCCATTAATAGCTAAGGATACATTATCCAAACACCTCTGACCAACAGGTAAGTTACTTTAATATGACTCACTTATGTGGTCAACAACACCTACAATATACAGTTAAGTTACAGATTTATCTGGCTGTCTTCAGATCTTACTTTCAAGTGATTCTTCTTCGAGGGTTTCTTTTATTATTACAAATACTGCAGTTGCCAACCTTATTTCTCCATTTTTCACAAAGCAACAGTAAACTTCTAGCTTATAGGAACTTTATAAAGTCAGAGTTAAACAAAAAAGACACTCATAAAATATTAATTAGAATCCTAGCAACAACTCAATATAAAATCAAAAGAAACAATCCTTATTGAAAGTTCAAACTGCAACATTCATAAGATTTTGATTTCATTCTTTAGCAGATTCTCAATTGTCAGATATTTTTCTCTTCTGTGTATATTTTTTAAAGTCACTTACAACACAGGCAGCAACAAAAATAATAGCAAAAACACAGACCTAAAATAGATGTCTGACAATAAGCTATAACATAATATCATGTCATACATATATATATGTGTGTGCTTGAAGTCCAGAAACCTGATCAGAAAAAGATCTCTTCTCTGAACATGTTCTACTCACCCTGCATCCTGGGCTTCATGTGCTCGAATTATTGAAAGTAAATTATTCTGCTGAAGGAACTCACAGCATGCTGCATAGCTGAAATATATATATAAAATATAAATGTACAAGTACCACAAAATTTATCATTCAAGTAAGACTGATACTTAGAAAACATTAACTTCTCATTCTAATGTACAGAGTAGCAATGTTTAGTAAAAATTTAAAACAGTTTTCTATGAAAGTGATCTCATGTAAGCCTTAAGAAACTAGTGCAAATAGGTTGATATTAATAAGAAATTACTCCACAGGGTATTTCATGTAACTAAATCAAATGGAAGAATTGCCCTTAAGAATAGCTGGCTAAGGGCAGTTGTGACTCAAATCCTCAAAAGTTTTTTGTTTTTTCTGATAAAGTTACAGCATTCATTTCAGTGGCATTATGGGCTGTTATAGTTTTCTACTTTGACATTTAATGAGATCGTGTAATAGTAATTCCTTAGTAAAAAGAGAGAAGAAGATAACCCTAAAAGCAGTAGTTGAAAAAGATGGAAAGCAATTCTAAAAGCATTTTAAAAGGAAAAAGTAGGATTAAATTATTTTAAACTTTAAAAAGCATAATTTAGCCATTAAACAAAATAACATTTTTTGTTTAGTCAAGAAATATATTGTTGTAACATTGTTCCCTCATTAGTAGGTTCTTTTAAATTATCTGGTGGCAATAATTCAACATCAAATTCACTTAACAAGAACAAATTAGCATTAGTTCTTCCTTAATGTTTCTTTATAGACATGTACATACACTTTTGTAACTTATTATACACTCTCATTTAAAGCCACTATGCTACACTAATGTAAAAATCAACCTACTTGTACAAAGTAATTCAATATGTGTGATAGCTAACACAGATCCAAAAATGTAAGCATTCTGACTGATTCACTCTACCAGCTAGAAAACAGTTCAAGCTTCTTAATGCTTCACTGTTTCACTGCAAGCTCACCCATGTTTATAAGCTAACCGTTGTTCTAGATATTCAGCAAAGCCTCTAGGTTTTCATGACATTAATTAAGAATATTCTAGGCTTAGTCTCACAATCTTACTTGATCTCAACGTCATGCACCCTCCAGCAAATATCTAAATTACAATGTAAAATATATAGCTTATAACAATATCATTAAATATATGGAATAGGTTCAGGTTCTAGGTTATCTCCTGTTAACTAATTTATTTATATGTCATTAAGAAAAAACAATGGTTGGAAGAATGCCCTTACGAGTTTAAACCAATTCAGTACACATGATATGTTAATGTTCCATTTTTCATTCTTAAAAATAAAAGTCAAATAATATGATTTTTAATTATTTGAATAGCAAACAATATCAGGTTTAAAGTAGATATGATGAGGACTGTAAATTACAATTTTTGGATGTTTTAATACATAATAATAATAATTATTTCAATTTTCAAAATGATGACGTTTTCTGTATAAAAAAAAAAAGACATTTACAGGCTATGTAGTTTATATCAAAGGAATTTGAGAATATTGAAATGTAAGTGACATAAAAATGACTCAAAACTATTGAATCCTTAGAAAATATCTGCATAAAAAGTTTCAAATGTAATGATGGTGGTTGATAAATCATATTAACCTACCATATGTAAGTAGGTGTTCTATCATTTAGAGTTATGAAACAATTAAAGGAAAGCATTGTGTCATGAGGTTTATCCACAAGTTCAGTAACAATATATATTTTCAAATCAGTATGCAAATTGTTTTTTAGATTTAAAGATACCATCCAAAATTACAGAACTTTAAAGTTATTTATTTGTATGAATGTTCTAGAAGTAATGTTAGGTATGTTATATCTACCCCAAGAACATTAGAGGCCAGAATTAGGGAGCATTCAAATCTGAGATCATAGAATAATTAAAATTATATTTATTAAATTACTGTGATATAACCCTAGAAAAAATATTTTAAGATTACTGCTAGAGCTAATGATATGGAACAATGTTGTATTACATAGTTTACTAATAAGTAGGTTAAAACCAAACTATGTGAAGTGAATAGCGCCACTGAATTACTGTTACACTTACAGTTTGTATATATGTATGGTTATATTCCTTAACACTAAGTAGACATACATCTGTTCATTATTACATATTATATTTTATATAAATGTGCGCAATAATACTTGATGAAGTATATAACTGTTTATATAGAACACTTTACAAACAACGTTATCAAAAACAAAGGGTTTTCAGAACTATCATAAATCACATGGGATATGATGGGTTAAGCTTGTACAGGACCCCTGAACATACATAAAACAAATGGAAAATGACACATCAGCCCTTACCCAAATTAAGTTAGCTATCTTGCCAACAGTAATGTAAACATCAGTCAATGGTCTAATTTTAATAACAATCGTTTCACTCAGATCGTTCACAACAGCAGTTTCTAGGGATCATCGCTACCGTCTCCGTTTTTGGAAGACAATAGACAAACGCTCGCCCTTAGGCTAACTTAGTAAGTACACTTCAAACTGGAAAATATTTTTGCAAACAATGTTGATCCTACTAGATGGCGCTCTACTAACAAAATTAGTTTTAAAATAAATACGCGCTTGAGCCATCTGTAACTACAAACGATACCCACAGTACGCGTATGTTTGAACGTCAACCTAAGGTGATCCCATACATAACTTGTGCAATAAACTGAACCTTTTTTTCTTTCAAATGTTAAATTAATAACTAGACTTTGCACATAGCAAAAATGTTCTTATTTCGTGGCTTCACGTTTCATTTATTATATTACATGTTTATTCGGGAGCTGTTAAGGACAGCTATAGTTTCCACCATGATATTTCCTGTTTTTTTAACCACGTGACATCACACCAACACCAAGAATTGTGTGATGTCCTAAAATTATATATCGGAGTATGAAACTTTGAACAGGTTGATTTACATTAACAATACATAAGCTAACTGACTACAACAACTAAGCCAAGTGTTTCATGATTAAATAGTTTAATGCAAAAATGGAGGAAAAGGAACCAATATCCCAAGTATTCTCCCAATCTAAGATGAGTGTTTAATCTGTTGTATGGAATTAATAGCTTCAGCAAATTACATTCAAGTTATAGTTAGGAACTTGCTTAATGACGTTCTTGTTACATCAAATCTTTCCAGCTCAACAAAGTCTGTATCCGAAAGTCGTAGGAGGTAAATAAAGCTGAATTTGTATTAAATATTGTTGCGTCAGAGGAGGTCGCGTGACTAGTATCACGCCGCGTCGTTCTCGAACATTCACGTCCTTTCCTTAAATCTCGGGATCCTTCTAGATGTAGTGTAGTCTTGTATATATAAGACCGGCCAAGAGCGACGGGAACAAGGCGGTATGTAATGAGTAATTGAACTGCAGTCAGAGAGAATATTGTTGAGCACGTGAGAAGTTCATTGAGAATTATAGCGTTTGTTAAAGAGCGACTGCTGAAATTAAGTGTATCGTAAAGTTGTATTCGGAAAGAATAAACCAGTTTTATTTAAGAAAGGACTTGTGTCGCTAAAGTTTCGTCGGAACGAATTTACGGAAAATTAACTAACGAACGGAGACGTAACAATACTTATTATCTCGTGAGGAAAATTTCTGGAGTATTGTTTGCTTTGTTTTGAACTTCGCGCAAAGCTACAGGAGGGATATCTGCACTAGCCACCCTTAATTTAGCAATAGTAGACTAGAGAAAACTAGTCAACACCACCCACCACCAACTGTTGGGATAGTCTTTTACCAACGAATAATGGGATTGATCATCACCTTATAATGCGCCATGGCTGAAAGGATGAGCATGTACGTTGACAGGGATTCGAACCTGCTACCTGCAGAATGTGCATCGAGCTCCCTAACCTCTAGGCCACGCTCGTCCCTGCTGTAACGTTGAACATATTGTATAGAAATAGACAGTGTTATTTTCTACTGGCATGTCAGGTGATGCTCCAGAGATACTAAATATCTTGTTTTGTAGTGCGAGTGACTGTCATTGGGTGGTGCTTTCATAACGAGAAGAATGACGTTGTTGTTTTTCAAATACAGTACATTGTTTTCTCAATCTGGAACAAGATTTTAAAATTCTAGGACTTACCAGAATAAAAAGAGTAAGATTAGACTGAGATTAAAATTTAAGTTTCACCTGATTGATTGGATTTAAAGATACTTGATTTGCTAGCTCTCCAGTAACGAAGGTTCCACACTTACACTTGTTTTTAACATTGGTTGTTATCTAGGTGAGTAAAGATTGTTTCACTTTGTTTATGGTGTGTCTAGTCTCTTTTTTTGTGTCAGACAAGGTCTAGGTCATTTTCTGATTCTTACCCCATTATTTTTCAAAAAGCGGTGAATCTGAGAATATCACACCTATGATACAAAAGTAGACCTTGTTTTTAAAGTGATTTATTAACATATAAAGTAATAACTTCTGACCTTAATAAAAAAATTGTAATATAAAACAAAGTTTGAAAATTATATTTAAAAAGAAAAGATTTCTCCAGGGGCGAAAAGTAGCAGAGCTACAAAGCCAGAAAATATTTGAAAATGAATTTTGTACACATAAAGCGTCATAAAATACTTCTTGTAATATCAATGATTTATTTACTCACTATATATATTTTTTTCAATTGTTAGGTTCAAGATTACATGCGCACTATAATTCATAATGTTTATTTAAAAAAAAAGCAACAGCATCAACTATAGCTACGAGTAGTCTAATAACGACTTCCCAATTTAAAGTACGAGAGGTCGCTAATATACATATCGCGCGAATTTTCAAAATAGTTGAAAATTTAATTTAAAGGTTAAATGTCTACTGAGTTTTGCCAATATATTTTTACTTCTTTAGAGTTTAGTTGTAATGTTCGAGTTTGAGGTGAAGTATATGTAATATTTTGTTAAAATCAAATTTGATATTTTAGTTTTTGATGAATATTTTATCATTACTAAATATAAGTTCCCAATGAATGATATTAATACTTACTCTTAAGCCTAAGGTGTAGTGCCACTGCCCAGTATTGCAACACACTAATACAGTGCCAGTACGGTGGCAGTAGTTAA